GAGAGTGGAACAAAATAAAAAGCATGATTCACTAAATACGTTTTCAGTACAAATTCAATTATAAAACGTATTTAGTAAATACGTATTTAGTAAATATGTTTTACAAATTTTTTTACAAAGAAAAACGTATTTTGAAAATACGTTTTACAATAAAAAACGTATTCACTAAATACTTGCTTTTAATTTTGTTCCACTCCCGTTTGTGTATTTTTTGTCCAAAACTTTAATTTTTTTTTTTTTATTTTCTGGTAAAAAAAAATTCAGAGTTTCAACCATCAATCTTTACAATCAATCTATCCATCACATTAATTTAATATTTTTTATATCATATTAATTAAGTCACAATTTTTATCTCATTTTTATTTTTAATTTTAAAAAACTTTTAGTTCACTTGTTATAATTTTTTCGAATGAAACAAAATATAATAAAATCCAAATTTCTGCACACTACTGTGCTCAATTTCATTTTTCCAGATGATAAAATGTTCAGCAAACAAATGTTTTCCGGTCAGTAATGAATGTTATTCGTGGACAAACAACTCACAGAGAACTCGAAACCAAAGTCTAAGTTAAAAATAGCAGAAACGTCTACAAATCTTTCACCAGTTTAAGGTTCAAACAAATGTGTTCAACAAGCCCATGTCATGTATCATATATGTTTCCTTGAGGAAGAAAGAACAAATGAGGGAAAAAATAATAAGAGCAACAACAGGATTCAAGAATAAATATATCGATTATCCGATCTGAAGTTTCTAATCTAGAGATACTTGGTCAGCCATGGCAGGTCTTTGCTTTCCTTAAGTGCAAATGTAACATCATCACTGCCCATTAACAAACAGTCAGTATAAAAACTTTTAAGAGCTCTACATTAATCTAGACTTTGATGTTTGGGATAGACTCACCTTGGATAGTTGAGTTGTAGTTTCTGCAATTTGTGCCGGGAGCCGGCTTCACACACTAAAATTCTGCATTCCCCAAGCTTGCATCTGGTAGTTAAGACATACAGATAATACTTGATAAATATAACCAATCTCTAAAAGCGAGTCCTCTTGGTTTTATTGTTTTTTTTTTCATATTTTCTTCTAATTTAGAAGCCGGATAATTTAAGACACTCCTCAAGGTTTCAATTTAAAGCTTTTGAACAAGTCTCGGCATTGTGATTATCAACAACATTAAGATACCATATTTCCAAATCTCTACTCCATAGTGATACCCTCAAGTTTGGTGAAAGAAAATAAGAGTGTATATGTTATGGGGCTATGAAACAAATAAAAATAGTTAAGCATTTCTGCAAGCATGGTCCATCTACTTATTGTTTTTTCTTTTTCACGTATTGGCCACTTGAGTGTCCGAGATTTGACTCATAATGACGTCACAAGCTACACTAATTAACAACAGTGGAGGAAATGTGTTACTTCGGCTTACCCGACTTTCAAGAGTGTATCATATCCTGGAAAGATTTCTCCATTGCTCGAGCAGAAACATGAGACTGTCATTGCCAACTGTATGGACCGAAGTACAAATGAACAAAAGCATTAATTGGTTTGAATAACATCATGCACTAGCTAAAGTTGCATACGGCGTTAAGAACACCATATTTTTACCCAAAAGTACCTAGCTCATTTTAATGAAACGGTATATACACAAAAATATAAGCTGAAAATACACGGGACGGTTACCTTTTCGAAAGTTGTTTCACCCATTCCTGTTTTATAAAGTTCGTGCACCATAGCAGCTAAGAAGATTTTACTCAGTTTAGAGCAACTTCGTATCACCTGGAACAAAAAAGAATAAAAATAAAATGAGTTGTTAATTATTGTTGCAAAACATGTGCCCTGTGATTGGTAATTAGTCGATGTAAGTAAAATATAAGTTAATCAACTTACCTGGATATGAGGAGCCTGAAACATCTCCTTTATTGCTGCTTCAATATCTGCCATACCTACCATGACTTTCACTACACAAAAACAGTAAACCATATGAATTGTCAAACATTTATTTAGACAGAACTATATACAATTAGGAAATGCTTCTAATAGTTAACTATTTAGAGGATCTCTAGGGAGGGTAAGTCCTTTTCTTTATTCTATTATGTCAAGTAAATCGCACAAACTCATGAACAAACTGTCTAGATAACAAATCCCATTAGATTTTTTTTTCTATGTTTATGTTGCACATTCAATTTTGGACAGAACCTTTGTTCGCATTTCACAAAAGAGCACAATTATGATTATTCTTATGGGCTTTGGTCATGGAAATGAATATTAATATTGGAAAAGAAGAAACGAAATCATTGTCCTGCCTGCACCTGAACTAGAAAGTGGAGATAGTTTAGCATGGTAATCAGCAAGTTCTGCAGCGCGCCTGCAGATCTCCAGGGCACGACGAGCATCACCAGAAACAGCAGCTACCTAAAAGTAAAATGCTATAGTAAATATCAAAGAGTATGCAAAAGATGCTGCATAGAAAGTCACCACTATGGTAATTTCAAACCTTCCTTGAAGCAAATTCAATTGCAGGTTTTTCAAAAGCATCAATCCCTTTGAGGCGACTGGAAATTATTTCTTGAAGCTGCTGATAGTTGTAAGGTCCGAAGCAAAGCCTCTGTATGCCCATACGACTAGAGATGCGTGGGAGCAACTTCTCTGGAAGATCCATGGTGTTTGCTATTCCTGAATATGAGAAGAGCAAAGGAAATGAGACAATAAAAAGGAAATTCAATTATAGTGATTGCAGCAGCTATTTCCTACCTATCACAATCAATTTGGAATTAGGCTTGGTGGGCCAATCAAGTATATTGTATAAAACCTGCAAATTAAAGTATCCCAGAATAAAATACTGAAGATTAAAAAACGAAGTAGACGGTTGATTCTGATAGAAATGCACAACTTACTGACTGGTTTCTGGTTACTAGAAGATCAAGTTCATCTATGAGAAGGATACAGGGCTTTGTATATTTTGCATGATTATTTTCATCTGAAAATCGCTCATTTAGCAAATTGAGTGCCTTTTTCCACCCAATTTTATGTCCAGTTAATCCTTCATAGATTACCTGTAAATAGTTTCCACAATAAGTTATCCCTAAGCATAAAACTACTTGTTCGATGAATAGACATGCATCCCTACACTATATATATTCTCTGGTGAGGCCAGTTTGAGACCATTAATCTCCACAAAGCAGTAAGGCCTTATGCTTCCCGCATCAACCTCGGACATCAAATGTCTCATCACAGCAAGCACACTCATTGTCTACATTTGGGAAAGTAAAAAGCAAGTTATATTGACCCAATTAAAAAATAAAAATAAAGAAATCGGCTATTGAGGTAGCCAATTTTAACAACTTCTTAAGCAGAATAAATTTACCTTGCCAGTCCCAGGAACACCATGAATGTATAGGCATCTTCCCAGGCATTGCTCATCACATATGGCTCCTTTAATAAATGAGGTTATCTCAAGCATTTCCCTGCACGAAACAAATTTCCATAAGATGGGGTACAGGGCTGACTTGAGAACCAATAACTCTAAAATCTATACTTACTTATCCCTACAAGGTAGAGATTTTGGCAATGTTGCAAGAAGAAGTGATGCTTTTGCCTTTTCTAGGTCAGTTTGCTTGTGACATCGAACATGTTCAGGAATTCTCTTAGCCCCTATCTTTTGCAATCCAAATATTCTACCCTTCCTTGAGTTCTGATTAGTAAGGCAAATAAGATATCACATTTGTTTCAAGTAAACAGGTATAAAGACTTCAAATGTTTTAAGTTAAAATTAGCATACAGCAGCCACTGGGTGAGATAAAGAGACTTGAGCCAGTGAACTGATTTTGGTCTCATCATCATAGTCAATGTCATCTTCTGAGGCAGAATCCGAGTCATCATAAGAATCCCAATCGTCATCATTGTCATCCTTTTCAGCTCCTTCACCATCCTGTAAAATAATAACGTATAAATTCCAAGAGAATGCAAAGGCCATTTGGCTTATAAGCCCCTTCTAACTTACATCATCATTATCAATCTCTGCAATACGCTTGAAGCTATGCCACTTTATATCGTATTCATATTCGCAAAGAAACACATCATCTCCACCATTGCCAGCAACAGAGAAATCTTTCGGGGCCATAACATAACAGTGCCTAATTACAGACGCCATCTACAAAACAAAAACCCGCTACAAATAGAAATTAGAGAAAATGTTACAAGTTTTACCCTTTAAACGTGAATAATGATGATGGTTCCCTTTTCACGATTGTCGCTGCATTTGAACTAAAGGCAGCTTTTTGTATGAATAAATATACTCGGACAGATCACCTCAATATCAGCAAAATCATTAGTCCGATAAAGCTCCCGTCTCAAGTTATGAGATTGTCTGCCCACGGCCGTCTCCTCCGGAATAATATACCACCGTGCTCGACACCAGTAAGTACCGTCCGCTTCCTTCCATAAACTATACAATAAACAGGTAAAAGTCAATAGCACAACACAAGTTTAATCAATTACTGTAAATCCAACTGTGAAAAAATTGCAGAAACCTCTCTATACGAACAGCCCACAAATCACTTGAGAGCAACTTCTCCCTAGCAGTCCTAGCCCTCTTCTTCCCCTTGGGCGGCTCTGGAAAGTCCACCATTTTCCCCGATTTTTTCGCCTTACAGTAATTGCAAACCCAATCCCCTTCTGGAACGTTCCTTAGTGGAGGATCCACACACTTCAGGTGAAATCCAAACAAGCAATCATCGCACTCGATCATAACCTGCCTCCCAGGGGGCTTGAAACACACTCTGCATTCCTCCACCTCAGGCTCCTCATTGTCCGAGCTGGCGTCGTCTCTCCTCTTCACATAAACATCGTCGCCGGCTGAAAACTCAACCCCATCAAAAACCACCTTTCTGTAGTACGACCTTCTCCTAGATTTGTGACCACCGTTTCTAGTCTTGTTGCACCTCGAGATCCTTTTCTTTTCTGAAACCGGTGTCTGTTTCTCTTCTGGAAGCTTCCTCTTCCTCCTTGGTTCGGCGGTTTTCGGAGATGCTGGGGTTATGGAAATGGCGGAGGGTGAAAGTTGGGGCGGTGCGATCTGGCGAGATTTCGGGGTTTTGACAGCGGAGTGTGGGGAAATTGCCTGGGGAGGCGGTGTAGGAGGGGATTGTGGTGCGGAGGGTGTGAAGCGGACGGATCGTCGGAGGGTGGAGGCCACTGGCATCGAGATTTGCGGGGTCTGGGGTGCGATGATGTGATTCGGGGAGGAAACGGATGCTTGCCGTCTCTTGGGGGTCCGGCTGGAGGAGACGGAGGATTTCATCTTTTTCGGCGTCTCCGCCATCGTCGTAGATCTTCGCGGCGGCGGTCTGTGTCTTGCGGGCGGGATGTGGAGAAAGAGGGATAGAGGAGAGAGTGGTGGCCGTAATAGTGGAAGACTTAGAAATGGCGGGAAAATTCGCTCTATATTTCTGCTTTTGTTTATTTATTCTTTTGTAAGATTTTAATTATCTAAATTTAGAACAAAGTTTATTATTATTAATTAAACGTTATCCTCAATTTACCAATATAATTAAATAATTTTTACATAGTACATCAATTTTAATTCACTATTCATTCACGCATAATTTTTAATTAATATCACTTCAGGTTACATCTCTCTTACTTTTACATCAAATCAACTTCTAATTGTTTTATTTTAAATATTATTTTAATAAGAACTCAAAATTTGACTAACATCTAATCATACTACTTTTATCAAAATTAACCATACCAAATAAAAAAAAACATCAAAACTAAAAAATATATATATATATATAAACATCATAGCATCCCGTGCGATGCACGAACGGATTTGTACCTTAAAACTTTTTATTTTTTTCAAAATTTTATTTTTACAATTTATTGGTCCCTCGACCTATTTATATTAATTTGCATTAATATTATCTGTTAATGTAATTAATTATAAAAGCGTATAAACCTAGATTATTAATTATTAATATATCAATATTAATAATTAATATTGATATAAATAATATTTATGAAATGTCCAAACCTAATTACGAATCATGATTCTTTGCCAAGTAGGATTCCAAAGCACCAGAAACAGCTACATAGGCTCAACGCATTCGGGAATAATATATAGGGAGGATTTTATGTAGTCCGATACTTTCCAAATTTCCTTATATGGAAAATAATTTAAATAGTCTATATAAATTTGAATGTTTTTGAATTATTTGAAGAGTTATCTTACTCGTTTCTTTTTCCTTTGCATGAAGAAGAATGGGTAGAAATAAGAGTTTTAGTTTAATTGATTTGACTGCTTGTGATTCAAGTTATTTGAATTGCATATACAGACAAAACTGTGAAACGATAAGAAATTGTTGTAACCAATTGCCGATGTGATTTTTTTAGAAAATCTTGAAAAAACTTTATCGATTCTATAAAAAAGTGTTATAGTTTGATAATTTTCGACAATCAACTGCGTGTGTTCTTTAATGAAAATAAAA